TAATATTTTTTTTTTTTACTAAAGAAGCTTAATATTAACATCTCCTGGCCTACAGCATCCAGTTCATCATTTAGAGAAATCAGCATAAGAGAAAGTACAAACAGATGGAGGACAGAGGTTAGAACAAGAGTTAGAGTCAAACCAAAAGTCTATTAGGAAAAAAAAAAATCATAGCAAATCATCCTACGCAGACATAGCAGGTTATGCCAAACTGCCATTTCCTTGTATCATCACGCAACTGTCTGGGCTTGCGGCAACCACCTTGTTCAATCAAGAGTAACAAAAGTTCAAGTAAAGAAAACAACTAATGCATGATCTCATATAAATCCATTTCTGCCAAGAATATCCTAATCCACACAATTTGTTACTTCTATTATGGCTGCTCTCTATTCAGATTCGAATTAGGTGAGACAATATCTCATAGATATTTACTACTGGAATTAAACATTCTTGGATGCTAAAGAAACTTCAACAATGTGTGAGGCAGGCTTTTGAAGTTTAAGGCTTGACAGGGGAATAGGCTATAGGCACAAAAGTACATAAACAAGCAAAACAAGAACAACCAAAACATAATCTGAGATCACTTCTTGAGTTAGCTTTAGGGGAAGGGTTAAGATATTTCAGTAAGCGGAGAATGGGGAAAAGATGCTATAGAAAGGAAAACTATAAACCAATGTGGAAGGTTGGAATGATGTCTGAAGAACAGTGAGGATACCAGTTTGAGTAGGATAGGGAAATTCAGTGGAAATTCAAGAGGCTCTGGGGTTTTGTTGTGGAGACAAAATCAAGCTGCTGAGGACTTTTGAGGCAGAGAGTGATACAACAAAAACTCCATTCTAGGAACATTAACCTGGCATGATGGACTTGATAAGGAAGGGATGGTATTGCAGGCAGATCGGATAGAAAATTACTACAAAAGCCCAGATTCCTGAGCTAGGTTACATCTTAAGTATACAACTCAACATCAGCTGAAGTCACTAAATTTTATATGTGCACCTTAAGTACAACATAGAATTTCTATACTGATTCTAGAATTGTTTCACTTTTCCTTTCTATTTTCACATTAGGTAACAACTTCTGGCTTGAAATTTTTATTTCACCTTTCCTCATCTAATCTTGGCATTAATAAGACTCATCACATTCTTTACATACTGGCAAAAACAACAAGACTGTATGTCAGTGCTTCATCATAAGAGCATTTAAAGCAATTTTTAAATCCCACTTTGTTAAAATGATTGTTTTATGACACATACCACGGATTTCACTTTTCACTTTCCCAGATAAAGAGTGCTTTCTTATAGGCAGATTAGGCCTACAAATCCAAAATGAAATTAAAGAATTATTAGTAAATTTTTAAGTTACTTTATAAAGTTTTAAACAGATTGGCTACCAAGAGTATCATGAAAGCAGAAACTAACTGCTTCCTTTACTTCGTGTGTGTAAAATAAGCAATGCATGAATGCCGCTCTTCTAGAAAAAGAACTGAACCAGAGAAGTACTCAACATTTCACACGTTAAGGTAGTCTTATTCCATCTGACTTCCCGAAAGAGGAGACAACTGTAAAGTAGCAGGAAAAAAGTCATCAAAAAGGTAATTTGGATTACTGAAACTATCATATTTCATGTCTGACAGAATATTATGCCTGCTTTCTAGTAAAGCAGACTTCTGAAAAAGATATAGAAAATACACATTACTTGGAAAAGAAAATCAGAGAAAAACCAATTCTGTTTGGGTCACATGAAGAGTTACATGTGCTTAGGGACCTAAAACTAGGCAGAGGATGTCCCAGTTTGCAGGAGAGCGCCTTGGCTGTTTCTAGGACCTTCCATTTGAACGTGGAAAAGCTGCCACTCATCAGAGACCACTGAACTTCTCCAATAGTGAGTCCAGCCTCCTACCCAGGGGACCGTGCCAGGCGCAGTGGACTGGCCCGGCCAGACAACAGCCCTCAGCCTGCCGGGCCAGTCAGGGAGCAGACTGGGGCCAACACTCAGGAAGGAAGAGATCTGGGACGGGCAGGAGGAGGCGGGGGAGCACAGCGGTCCGGAAGACACCCGCTCCTAGCCAGCGATCAATCCCTCCTTAAAAGAATTTAAGATAAACAAGGACTCTGCTGCTTGCAAACTGCCACTGAAGAAGCCCAATTCATAAGAACAATCTCGGTCAGAAGCTTTCCACAACTCCAAGTGGGCAAGGACCTCTTATATTAGGAAGACGCAGTTTATTCAATAAATCCGCTGTAAGATGTCACGTTTCCTAAAAACTGCACCTAATTTTAGGGTGTCTGCTTATAGTGATTCCAATTCTGCATAAGATCTTAAACCGAAGGGAGAATGGGTGGGGTGCAGAACACAGATGAAATTTTCGCAGCATGGAAATAAAAGTATTTTTAAACCTTCTTGAGGGTGAAGAGTTAGGCAAGAAGTAATACGTGGAAACTGTCAACTGCTTCTCTACACACCCACCCACCAGATACCATCGCAGCCGGCTGGGGGAGTCTCCCTCTTGCCTCACAGCTTCACTTTCTTTGAGGTCTGGAGCTGGTGATCACACTGGCCCGTCATGGTATTTTCAGTTAACAAAGCAGTTACTCAACAGGGGAAAAAGCCACAAAGGAGCAGAGCAGCTGCTGCTGCACCCGTGATGCAAGTGCAGGATGAGCCCCGGGCCGCCACCGCCGCCCCGGCTCCTCCGTGACGTCCGGGAGGGGTATCCCCGGCTCTCAGGAAGTGGCGGCCGCGGGCGGCTCCGCCTCCACGCGACTCCGGGCTGGCGGGGCACAGGCGCGGCAGGACCGTCCGGCCCGCTGAGGGCGGGCGGCTTGGCGGGCATCGCCGGCCCTCCGAGGCGCGTGCGCGTGCGTGTCCCGCGAGCCGCGCCGCCCGGCCGGTCGCCCGCGCCGCCCGCGAGCCTCGCCTCGCCTCGCCTCGCCCCGCTCCCTCTTCACAGCCCGCGCGGGACCGACAGTGCCGCCCGCGCCCCCGCCCCCCGCCCCTCTCTCTCCCACGCCTCACTCCCACTCACCCCGACCCCCAGCGCCGAGCCCGGCCCCAAGTCGCGGGTCACCTGACGGGGTCGAACCGAGTCCAAGATGGCGACTCGCCCCCGCCCCCTCCGCGCTGTCGGCGGGGTCAGCGCGCCCCCTCACGCGGCGCGCTCGCGCCCGAGGCCCGGCTAAAAATAGCCAGGCCCCACTATATTTGGTTCGGCCGGATCCCGGCGCGGCCGCGCGCGCGCCCCGCCCCGCCCGGCCCGGCCCCGCCCCGCGCGCCCCGCCCCGCCCCTCGTGGCGCTGAATGGAGAAGGGGCGGGGGTGACCGAGGGGAACCTACTCCGCTATCTGCGGCGCGCGCCGGCGGCGGGGCCCGGCCAACCGCCGAATTTAGTAACATCGCCTGCGTCAATCACGCGCCTCGCGTGCGTCAGCGCCGCGCGGCTCCAGGTCCCGCTCCCCGCCCCCCTCCCGCCGCCAGCCTTTGAATGGATACAATGTAGCAGCGCCCTCCTTGCTTCGGAGACTAGATTGAACTCCGCAGCGCTGCAGAGGCTCGGTTCCTCTCGGCTGGGTCAGCTTTGGCAGCATCCTCCCACGGTCTGCACATTACCCATGCCGTACATATTTATTCGTAGTTTGGTTTGCAAGGTTCTGGTCCCACCTCGAAACTTCTTCGGTACTGCTCCCCACACACATTTAAAAAAAAAAAAAAACATAGGGACAGGTCAAATAAATAGTCACGCCCGAAGCCACTGGACCACTTGGGGACCACGTATGTCAGCGCTGTTACGGTCAAATGTTTTCTCCTCCAAAATTCATTTCTGAAAGGGGTTGCTGTCACTCAAGCAGCATCCTCTGGAACTCAGCATCTGGAACTCCGATGCATTTTCTGTTTTGATTTTCAGCCACTCACACTGAAATGCATCGTTTCCAAGAAGAAACTGCTGCCCCTCACAGGGTCACCCAGGCTTTGGGCACAACCTCCCAAGACCACAGCAAATCCCCTAGCGAGGGCCACTGACTCATCAATCCTGCGGGCTGATTTCGAAATGCTTCATCTGGGAGATGGGCGAGGGGGGGGCTCTACAGACATCAAAAAGTGAAAGTGCAGAGTTCCACGCCGACCGCGTGCTGGGGATGAGCGAGGGTTTACAACAGCCAACCCCGCTCAGCTGTTCAGCACGTGTGTGTTTGTTTTTGCACACCTCCGGTGGTTCCGTGCGCGTGGACGATGGATGTGCGCCCGGCTGGGTTATAGTGTGTCCGGTCGGGAAACCCAGACCCTGAGTGTAAAGAAGTCAAACCTCATCCGCGAGCCAGCTGCATCCTCGTGCGAAACACGCACCCAGAAGCTGCTGGGCGGAGGAGGGGAGTCAGCCTAAGCGCACAGGGCCAGGGCTAAGTAAACAGCTCCAGCGCCGTGGCAGGAGGAAAGCGCAGCTGCACCTCCGGGAGTCTTCGGGCTGGTGCCAGACTCCTGCTGCACCGCCTGCCAGGTCACTCGGAGAAGCTGGCTGGCGCAGCCTTCCCTCTCGGAAGAGCTGTCCTCTCCCTTACCCCCCGGCCCTGGCTCGCAGCCTCGGGGCAGCCTCGGAGGCGAGCCAGCAGCACTCCTCCAGCGCTACTCCACCCGAGCCTGACAGCTGGGCGGTGCCGCCTGACCCGCGGGCGGGCCGCTGCACCCTCCCGCAGACGCGCGCTCCGGCGAGCTGTGCCGCTGCTCAGGGGTTGGCAGCGCGGGTCCCAGAGGCCCCCCCTCGGCCAGGGCACAGTTTTCCATTGTGCCGCCACGCTCCTGGGCAGGGGAACGCGCGCGCGCGCTCCAGATCACTCACCCGCGCGCGCGCGGCACACACACACACACACCCTCCCTCGCACACGCTCGGAACCGGCTGGGCCAGGGGAGGGAGGAGGAGGAGGGTGACGTAGCGTCCCATGGCGTCACATTGACGTCTCGCATTCCAGGCACTCTATGGAGAGGCCGCTAGGGCTCCTGTGGCATAAATGACGTGCCGGGAGAGCGAGCGAACGCGCAGCCGGGAGAGCGGAGTCTCCTGCCTCCCGCCCCCAACCCCTCCAGCGCCTGCTCCTCCTCCGCTCCCCATACACAGACACGCTCACACCCGCTCCCTCACTCGCACGCACAGACACACGCGCGCACACACGCTCCGCACACACGCTCCCTTCTCGCCCGCGCGCTCACACCCCTCGCGCCCTGCGCCCTTGCCGGGGCCGCGCCGCGCCGCAGCCGGACGCTCCTGCCCGGCTCCCTTGGCGACGCTGACAGCGCCGGCGGTGGCCGTGGAGGTGGGCACGACGGCTGCATCCTGCCCTGCGGTCGCGGCCGGAGCCAGGACGCCCGCAGAACCTCTCGGCGCCGCTCTCCCATGAGTCGGGGTCGCAGCATCCCCCGCCAGCCGCTCGCCGCCTCCGGGAGCCGCGGGGCTTGTACACCGCAGCCCTTCCGGGACAGCAGCTGCGACTCCCACCCAAGTGCAGATTTCGGGGCAGCTCTCTAGAAACTCGCTCTAAAGACGGAACCGCCACAGCACTCAAGTATGTATAAGATTCGCCCGGTTAATAGGGGGACTTGCTAAAAAGTTGGCGCGCTGGGGAGCTTGGCTCCTGAAATTGACAACTTTGAGCGTGGGGTCTTCCCCCCCTTCAACCAAACCCCGCCGCCTCCGGGCTCCGGCTTCGCGAGGCGAGCGGCCCGTGGGTTCTGATCTGAAACTTTTCCTCGGGAGCGGGCCCGCGGGGATCTCCGGAGCGAGTGGGATTCCTCTCCCCACCCCGAGAGGCGAAAAGCCTCTAACAAAGAGGAGAACCGGGATTTGTGCAGCAGCAGCCCCAGAGCTGTAATTCAGGGTATTTCGCTCTAGTTGTCATGGTAATGATGCTCTCGGCGGCGGCGGCGGCGGCGGCGGCGGGGAGTTGCAGCTCCGGTGATGAACGGCAGTAATTTTCCTGCCTTTTTAGTAGAATCGGAAATAGGGGCTCTGGCGGGTCCAAGCTGACGAACCGAACGGTGGTACCGAGTTGGCTGGGCTGGCAGGGAGCAAGCCTGGGAGGGAAAGGGCCGCCCGAGTTTGCATAGGCGCCCGGAGATCTCAGGAAAGGACGTAATTGTAGGAATGTGGCTTATTGTATTGAAATGAGCCTGGGGCTCCGCTGGGCACGTCTGCCTGGCGTCGCCCGGCTTGCCGGCTTACACTTTGCGCTTTGGAGGTAATCGGGAGTAATTGTCGGCTCCCGGGCCCCGACACGCGTGGGGACCTGGAGCCTCTCCTCTGGGCCAGGCGCGGTGCGGGAAAGCCATGCTCCCGGGTCACTGCCTGAGCTCGCGCTTTTGGAGAAGTTGCTCCGAGCGCCTTACTTAGTAGAAATGAAAGTTGTCGGCAGCCGAGAGGGAGCGCAGAGAGGCGAGCGCGGCCCGCGACGATCGACCGCCGCGGGCACCGCTGGGACCTGCTGGGAGCCCTGGGACCGGGCGAAGGAGGAGGGCCGTTTGCCCCCCTTGATTCCCGAGAGATGTTCTTGGAGATTGCCTTTTTATTCGTGTGTCTGGGCTCTCCGGAGGGAAGAGCTGCACGGAGTTCGGGGAGCAGGAATCCGGAGCGTTAGCCCCCGGCGCGAGGGTGCCGGGGAGGTCCGCGGGCGCCTGCACCCGATCCCCCCGCGAACCCAAGTCCTGGGGCTCCTTTTCCCACGACGGGGGAGTGTATTACAGAATCGAGACGGGGGGAAGAAAAGCTGTGCGTCTCGGAGCCTGGGCACAATGAATGAAATCACTTTATTCTAGTTATTGCAGCCGAACAAGACGTTCGTCATGTGGCTGTCAAAGACTCCTTGGGCCCCAGCGACCTCCCCCTCCGCCCGGTCCCTCTCCCCGCACCCCAGGCAGATCCCCGGGACCGTGCGCTCGCAGAAACCCTCCCCCGCGCCGCGGCTGGGTTCCCTCGGTCTTTCTGAGAATCTTTCCCTTTCTGTCGTTGTCTCCTCCACTCCCCTTGCCCCCGCCCAGCCTCCGCCCCCGCTCCCCGGGGTTGGAAACTCCGCGGAAGAGCCCCGGTCACAATGGTGCGTTTCACGGTTTCCTCCACACACTTCACCCCAGGGAGGGGAACACGGGGGTGTTCCTTTCGTCCGCCCACGAGAGAGAAAGGGGCTTTGACGGATGTAGTTACTGCTTCCTAATTTATAACCCCGAGCCTCAGGTCCCGGCCGGCTGCCGTGAGCGCGAGCCGCGGAACGTGTTTCCAGGCGCCGAGCCCTACGCCTAGGTAACCGGCCGTTTGCGGGGCGGAGGGAACCGAGGGGCGCCCGGGCCGGGATGTCTGGGAGACGCCTGGACTCTGCCGCCGCCGCCGCCGCTGGGCGCGCGAGAGGAACCCCTTCCTTGGGGAGGCGCGGCGGCCCTCAGCCGCCCGGAATTCAGAGGGCTCCCCAGGCAGGGGCGGGAATGCGAGCACCCACTGGAGTAGGGGGCGGGGACAGCCAGAGACCCCTACTGAAGCTGCGCGGGGACGGGAAGCACGCGCTGCGGCCGTGGAAAGATCCTCCAGGGCCTGCGCTCCAGGGAGCTCAAGCTTCCCGTCGGAGCGGCTCAGGCAGGGGATGGCGAGGGAATCCCCCCGTTTCTTAGCCCTCAAGGTTTTCCCGCACCCGGGGACTCCGAGCCCCTTTCTCTGTCCCTGCACGCAAAGTCTGGCCATCGAGGGTGGCAGGAGGCAGAACTTACCTGGCCTTTGCGGACCGTGCACCCGGGAGGTTTTTTCTTCTGGTTTTGTTTGACTTGGGGTTTTGTGTATTTTTTCTTTTCGATCCACGTTCCTACCCTCCGAGCTTTGCCCACCCCAGGCAAAGGGGGCGCTGTAGGCCGGAGTTTGGGGCCAAAGCGCTCCGAGACGAAGTTTCGCTGGGCTGCGCGTGGAGCCTTTCGCCCGGGAGCCGCATTAGGCGCTCCCAGGAATGTGCCCCCTCCGGGGCGCGGGATGGCCTGCAGCCTCGAAGCCGCCCACCCTCGGGGACACCGCCCGCTGCGTGCAGGGAACCTCCCTCCGCCCGCCTCGCCGCCCGGCTTCCAGCGCGGGCCTCCTTGTGCACTGTGCCCTTTTGTTTGCTTGACCCCTGGCCCCCGAAACTCCCGGCTAATAGAAGCGAAGCTCCATTAGCATTTAGAATGAAAAGCGTAGACTTTCTTAATTCCTCGGGGCATTCATGCATTCGTTCCGGACCTTATGCATTTCCTATGCAACGTGTAAAAATTTGTATCTGAGGGGTGGCGGGCGGGCGGAGTTGGAAAATGGCTATTTTCCGCTCAGGCACACTCGCTGACCCCCAAATTCGGGCGGAACTCGTTCCTCAAGCGTTCTCTTTTCTTCGGTGTTCCTGCCTTCGCGAGCCCGGAACCAATTGTGGGGGCAAAGAGAGCAATTTCTGGGCGACGACAGGCTGCGAGGTTTTTAGCCTCGGTTCGGGTACCTCAAAACGGCGATGAGCGCAGCGGGTGCGGACAACCTTTCCTCGGCTTTCCCAAGGCGGTGTGATGCTTCTTGCCCAGGGACTCCGGTACCCTTAAGTACCCTTACCTGCCCTTACGCTAATTCTTGGTAATTAACGCAGTAGAATTCTCTAGAGGCTCCCCGCCAAACCCCTCCCCGTATGCCCGCCCAGGCCATGGTGACCCAGCCTGGTCTCATCGCGACCTCTGCCCTCTCTCCCGGTGCCTGCAGAGCCCACTGCGGAAGAGCGCAGCCCGGCAAGCCCGGGCCCTGAGCCTGGACCCTCCGCGGAGTCGGGCATCGCCGCCGCCGCCGCCGCCGCTTCGCCTCCCAAGACGTCCCCGCCTCTTACACTCTCGGCCTCCGCTGGAGAGACCCCCAGCCCCACCATTCAGCGCGCAAGATACCCTCCAGGTAGGTCTGAAAGTGCGACCCCTTAGACTTCCCAGGCTGGGAGAAGGGGGTGGGGGAACCACACACCCAGCAGGCAGACTGGTCTGCTCGCTCAGTGCCAGGACAGCCACTGCTGGCCGCGCATTTCGCAGCACAGGTGGCTTCCTCGAACGAAGCTCCTCTGTATTACCACACCCTGTTGCTTACCGAGGGGGAGCAGCCAGATTAAATTAAGCGTTGCATCTCTCAAAAATTATTTTTCCAAAGCAAAATGCAAATACACCAAAATAGACTGGGGTCTTCCATACATTTTAACATCTTCATTGTTGTCTCTCTTTTATATCCACTGTGTGCGTTTTAGGAGTTGTGGAATCTCTTAGAGCAATGGAGAGCTCTAAGGGATTCTTGGGTATGTAAAACAGAAATCATTTGGGTGCACAAGTTTGGATAATGGAAGCTCAGAGGGAAAGGGGTTTTTAAAAGAAAAAAAAAAAGCATTTCAGCTGAAAACCAAGGAGTCAATGTAAGTTTGGCAACAGAAAGGATTATAGATTTGGTTTGCACCACCTCTTGGTGAATTTGTTCCAGGAATGCTAGGTGCCAGGCCTGTGTAGGCACCAGGGAGGTAGATACACAGATAAGTAAAGCACAGTCCCAATAAGCTCATCTTCTAGCTGGAAACCTCAGAACGACACAAAGAAGTGCAATAGGTAGGAACTGGCAAGGAAGAATGATGGAAAAGAGTAACAGAAAAATCCTGGAGGTGCTGAAAGGAGAAGACCTGATGAAAGATCAGGCAGTGTTCTTTCTTGCTTAAATGATAAGCCTTTCATTTTGTCCCAGCAACTGGACAGCAAGATAAGTAACCCTCCCACTGCAGACTAGTGTGTGTGTTCTAAGGCCCTGCTTGGAAAAGGAAGGCTGGAACTGCTTCTCCTCATCACTGCTTCTTCCAACAGGCCCTCATCACCTTTTTTCAAGTCAAGATTTCATCCCATACACGCATGACTCAATCAAATTTGGAAATGTGGGTAAGAGAAAGATGTCAAAGGAAATGTGAAGTACTCACTTTTCTATTAGTCACACCTTTTGCACCTGGTTTTCCTTTGGCTCAGAAAAACCAACCACCAGAAACTGCCCATGTTACCATTTACTACCTAGCCATAAAGGAAGGGAAATGGTTAGGTAAAGTCATCATCCACTAGATCTTTCAGTTCTCAAGGCCTTCTTAACACGGTCCAACCTCTGAACAGTAGTAAGCACCCTGGACACCAGTAGCTTGGGGGCACTTGGTGTGGTCACAAAGGCAGAGAAACCAAATCTGTACCAAAAAAAAAAAAAAGAAGAAGAAGAAGAAGAAGCTGCTTTCTTCTTTTCCAGGGATCTCATTCTTCTGTCATCAGAAAATACCCAGGTTAACTTGCCTATGGTGATAGCTGTACACTCTTGTTGTAAAACAGCCACTGGTGTATTTTTATTAGTCAGAGTCTGTACATGTAGATCACATATATTAGAGCAGAAAGCTGGTTTTGGTGGGTGTTTTGTTGCAACTGCTGATCTTTTTCTTTGCAGATGGTGCAAACACCCCCGAGCCCATTTCCTGGGGCCTGTGTTCCCACCTCACCATCCTCAACAGGGGTCCACTTTGTGCAGGCTGCTAGCCTTGTTTGAAGAAGTGGGGAGAGGTGGCAAAAAGCAGCTGCATGTGTGTGGGCAGCCTCAGTTGGTACTCATGAAATGTTAGAATGTCACTGTCTCCCAGTGGGCCAGTTAGTCCCACATAGGACACCCTCCCCCCTTTTTTAAAAACTCATGGGTTTGCAAATCAGTGTGTGTGGTTTGGGAGACCAGTGGCCTCTTTCCCCCCCAAGAAGAAACCATCCGGGCATTCATTGGCTTGTTCTTTGTCCTCCCAGCTTGTGGCTCAGGAGGCCACCCTAATTAGTTTAGAGGATTCAAAGGCAGTCTTTCCAAAAAAAAAAACGCTTGGGGCACAGGTTCCCGGACCTGGAGAAGGACGGGGCAGGCTGGGTACAGAGGTCTCCAGGAAACTGGGTTTTGGTGTCCTGTGGCCCCTCCATCAGTCAGGGATTCAGCTTTCTTCCCAGGGAGGAAGAAAGCGTGGAGCCCTAAGTCTGCTAGCAGGAGAGGCTGTCGCTTCCTCTCTGCTTTCTAGATTAGAGAGCAATGAATCCAGCGCCGCCTGTTAGCGAGGAAAAGGGGTGTCGACTTGCTGCTGAGAGACCCTTGTCCCTGTCCCCACAGATATGCCCTGCGTGCAAGCCCAGTATAGCCCTTCACCTCCAGGTTCCAGTTATGCAGCGCAGACGTACGGCTCCGAGTACGCCGCGGAGATCATGAACCCAGACTACACCAAGCTGACCATGGACCTCGGCGGCACCGAGATCACGGCCACAGCCACCACGTCCCTGCCCAGCTTCAGTACCTTCATGGAGGGCTACTCGAGCAGCTACGAACTCAAGCCTTCCTGCCTGTACCAAATGCAGCCGTCCGGGCCGCGGCCCCTGATCAAGATGGAGGAGGGGCGCTCGCACGGCTACCACCATCACCACCATCACCACCACCACCACCACCACCATCACCAGCCGCAGCCTCAGCCTCAGCCGCCGCAGCAGCAGCCTTCCATTCCTCCTGCCTCCGGACAGGAAGACGAGGTGCTGCCCAGCACTTCCATGTACTTCAAGCAGTCCCCGCCGTCCACCCCCACCACGCCCGGCTTCCCCCAGCAGACCGGGGCGCTGTGGGACGACGCGCTGTCGTCCGCGTCCAGCTGCATCGCGCCCGGGCCGCTGCTGGACCCGCCGATGAAGGCGGTGCCCACAGTGGCCGGCCCGCGCTTCCCGCTCTTCCACTTCAAGCCCTCGCCGCCGCACCCGCCCGCGCCCAGCCCGGCCGGCGGTCACCACCTGGGCTACGACCCGACGGCCGCCGCTGCACTCAGCCTGCCTCTGGGGGCCGCGGCCGCCGCGGGCAGCCAGGCTGCCGCGCTCGAGGGCCACCCGTACGGGCTGCCGCTGGCCAAGAGGGCGGCCGCGCTGCCCTTCCCGCCGCTCGGCCTCACGGCCTCCCCTACTGCGTCCAGCCTGCTGGGCGAGAGTCCCAGCCTGCCGTCGCCTCCCAACAGGAGCTCGTCGTCGGGCGAGGGCACGTGCGCCGTGTGCGGGGACAACGCTGCCTGCCAACATTATGGCGTGCGCACCTGCGAGGGCTGCAAGGGCTTCTTCAAGGTGAGCATGGTGCCCCGCCCCCACCCCTGCAGCCAGCCCCCTGCCCTGGGGAGCATCTGGGTGGGTGTAGGAGCCCTGTTTGAGAGGCCTAACCCTTAGGCTGTGTGATCCTGTGGCCTTTCCTGGTACCTTCACAGCCACTTTTGAAAGCCCTGGACAGGAATTTGAGGAGTCTGGAAACCTCCTGACCTGACATGGCCTTAGAAGCATCTCTCTAGAGAGAGCTTTTCAGCAGATTCTCAAAAGGATCCCTGACTTCAACGATGCAAAAACCTCACTGCATTTCTTGTCTGTCCATCCCGGGTGTCTCCTTGTGGACTCAGACAGTCCTAAGATTGAATTGTGGATGCTCACTATTATTGTTAACAGCGTTTGAAGGTAGATATTATCGTTATTTCATAGGAAGGCTCACTGTGATTGATCCACTGACCAGAACACACAGAGAGAGAGAGAAAGAGAGAGAGAGAGAGAATGGAGGCAGGTTGCCAACTCATGTGTGTGACCCCAGAAGGCATGCCCTTTTCACAGCTTTTCAGTACAGAACAGACAGGAGCCACCGGCTGGATGCAGTAGGAGCAGCTCCCTCCATGGATGACAGAAGCTGGGGCCTGGGGTCTCACCAACCCACTGTGTCCTCTAGGAACCCTCCCCTACCTCTGTGAGTGTCAGGTGCAGGCAGCATTCATCCTCTCAGATCTAAAGGAGGATTTTACAGCAGTTGTGTCTTCAGCCTTCCCTTATTAGAGGTTAGAGGTCTTCCGTAAGGTCACAGAAAATGCACACTATCTTCTAATTCCATTATTCTGGGAACTTTTGGAAGTGCCCTGTATTTTACCCATGAGGAGCTGAACCCTAGAGCTGCAAAGTCTTGGGCAGGGTGTAAGCTGCACACGAGGACCCAGTTGGTTCCTCTTTCTACTGCTTGGTGGTGGTGGGGAAAGGTCTTGTCTTGCTGCTATACTTTTTGCTCTGATTCCCAAGCTTCAGATACTTCTGTCCCACCCTCCTCACTCCCACCCCTCTGGCTGTTATTTCATGCCTTTGCAAATGCACACAGGTCACTTCCTAGTCTCCAGTGTGGGGTAGAGTAGAGGAAGGCGAGGCGAGGAGCAGGATGCTGACAGGGTAACTAGGTTTTGGGAGACCAATGGAATGTATCTGGTTAGCATGCTGGAATTGGAGTCAAAAGACTCAAAAGGAGCACTGTTCCAAATGTCACCTACCAATTGTATGACATTGGGCACAACATTTCTTTGTAGGACTCCATTTCCCTATCAGTGAAAAAACGCAGAGAAGGATTTAAAAAAAATGGAAGCACTTTATCATATTAAAAGATCATAAAACAATAATTCATTATTAAGTGAAAACTATCAAGTATTTATTGAAATGCACATGTTTATGGATGAGTGTACTACCCACAAGCTATAGTTATTTTTGAACTGGGGATGGTAATCATGTTATTAATTGAATTCTGAAGATAAATGAGGAAGAGCTTGTGGTAAGACTTTGCAATATTTTAAGTGCCCTACAGGCATTATGGATGTTGATGTTTTAAGTGCACAACCTTAGCCTTTTTTTTTTTTTTTTTTTGCATTTAGTTTAGTTGTCTTCTCTGTCTTAACTATTCAAGCCGTACCAAGGCTGCTTTCAAGTATCTGCATTCCTTTATCAGATTTGATTTTTGAAGCCTTTTAGTGGAAATGCTGAAGGGCAGTGAAACTGGCAGCAGAAAGGGGGAAAAGAAAGTAAAACAATTAAGAGGATTACAAATAATCCACAGTCATAGTCAGCCCTAAACAACCAAGAGTTGACAAAAATGCAGACATGGTAATACATTCCACCTCTAGAAATGTCCATTAAGTTTCCCCAACAGCTTACCTTTGCTGCAGCAATCCCTTGAAAACAAATCTATACTTGAAAGGGAGGGGGCAGGATGAGGGAGAACCACCCTACAGATCTGTTAATTAAGGGAACAGGAGCAGGTTTCACCCAGTGGCTTTCTACCATTAAATTGAATTCTTTAAAAATGTGACATGAAGTGCAGTTAATGATGGGAATTCGGTGATTGAACTGTAACGATCTCTGCCTCTCCTTGCACTGCGCAGGCTCACACAAACGTGAGGAAGCCTTCAGGTTATTGGGAAAATGTATACCTGAAGCAAATGCCACTGGCACTCAGATTGGCATAAAGCCTTGAGAATGATGGCAAGAAAGCAAGTGTTAGAAATGACTGCATGGTCAATGAAAGACAGCTTCAGTGAAGAGACACAAGTTTTATATCCTTATAGACTGCTGAGAATTTAAATGCTGGAAATTCAGAAGTGTGTTTGTGTTTGGGATTTGCATTTTAGATGAAAATCACCTTCCAAAGCAGGAGAAACATGTTTTAGAGAGATAGGGTGGCTTTGTTAAGTTTCATGCAATTTAAAAACCAGCCCTTGAAGTGAAATTGGAAGATGTTAGGGTGAAAACGGAAACACAGGAGTTGGAGGTGACTGAAAGAAAAATTGGAAGTAAATCTAGACTTTTGGACACAAAATAGATCACAAAGCCCAAGCTACCTGGATTTTTTTTGTTTTTTAATGTAGCCTAGGCTTCCCAGATATATTTGTCAACAGTTTCACTCCAAGTGGTGAAATCTAGCTATTGGCATAAATGTTTTCAGTTTAAAAAAACAAGCATTCTTTTATATCCAGAGCATAAAATATGCTTATTTTTCCATGTGTCATTTCAAAATTATATGTGATTCTGAAAAATACAACATTATTTTTATATCTAAGCCAAGTGAATGACTTTTGCAATATGGTTATTTTGGTGTTTCTGTCAATAGTTATTTATGAAATGACCTATTAATGGGAATTTTCACTAATGTATGGCTCTTATATCTCTTTCTCTTGTTCTTTTATATCTAAGCTTTTTTTTTTCTTTTCTTGGATGTGATAGTGATTTTTAGTATCTAATTTCAAGAGTTTGCTTTCAAAAATCAGAAATGGCCAGCTTATCATATGTATCCTTTAAGATAAAATACACAGGCTGAGTGAGTTTCATTTGTCATTAAGACAGTATTTCATATATGTTTTAACTAGACAAATCCTGATTTTGCTTTTTGATGGTTTTCATCTCTATTGGGTAACAAAACTGTGATATTTGACTTACGATAGTGATAGCATACAAAGTACATCCCAGATACTTTTGATTTTATTTTAATAAGGTCAGCAACAATCAGGGGAGTATAACAAGTAGAAAATTGTTCCCAAAGGGATATTAAAAGTGAAGATAATCTAATCCTCCAAGGTATGATATGTTGACCTGGTAATTTCAGATATGATTTTATCATTCAGAGTTGGGTGTCTCCTGAGACTTGCTTCAGAACAATCCAAGATGATTTTCATTGTCAGCAGCTAACACTAATAAAATTGTTTTTCCTGCAGGCTAGCGTGTTAGGAAATTAAATTTATCTAATTATATGAATTGCACTGTCGCTTTTCACATTGTAATTAAAATACATCTTGTCAGGTCCTACCTCTTTCCAGAAACTGTTACTTGAGTGTCCCTGTATTGTATTTTTGCAGAGAACAGTGCAGAAAAATGCAAAATATGTTTGCCTCGCTAATAAAAACTGCCCAGTAGACAAGAGACGTCGAAACCGATGTCAGTACTGTCGATTTCAGAAGTGTCTCAGTGTCGGAATGGTTAAAGAAGGTATGAAGATGACTTTTTTTAAGCTGATTTTCTTATACATAGTCTCAGATATTGTTGAAAAATGTTAATATTTACATTGGGATGGTGAATTTCCTAGTTCCTCTTTTCCAGCATTTTATTTTTATGGTATGTTTTTTACCTAAAAATAACTGAGGACTACTTATTCTCATTTCTCAAAACCAATAATGAGCTTGTGTACACACATTTTACTTTTATTTAAGACACAAGCTTTTAGAGCTAATACATTACGAAATGCAAGTATGGGGTGGCTTCTACATTGTTTATTTCAACTCATTCTAAACATTGCCTCTTTTAAATGTTCGGTCTCATTAATGACTGCTCAACTATAATGTATTTGGATTCCTTTTTGTGATTTATAACAAAATATTTGACGGTTGTTTCTCTCTCTCTCTATCTCTCTCTCTCTCTCTCTCTCTCTCTGCATCAGTCGTGCGTACAGATAGTCTGAAAGGGAGGAGAGGTCGGCTGCCTTCCAAACCAAAGAGCCCTTTACAGCAGGAACCTTCTCAACCCTCTCCACCTTCTCCTCCGATCTGTATGATGAATGCCCTTGTCCGAGCTTTAACAGACTCAACACCCAGAGATCTTGATTATTCCAGAGTAAGTTTTACTATGTCCTGCTTTCAAATGAACCATCGGGGTCTCTATTCAAGATACTAGTAATACGAGTTGCTTGAATGACTTCGCTAGAGAGTTTTCATACCTTTTCTATATTTCTCACTTCATTTAGCAATTCAGTGCATCCATTGCACCAAATAATTTTTGCCTTATTGGATCTCTAAATGCCTTAACAAATGACCCTGACAGAGCTGCACCTGTCATACTCATTGTTGCAGGATTCCTGGTGGTTGTGCTAATGAAAATCTGCACAGGTGAACTACAATGTGTAGCTTTCTGTATGGTCTAGACCAAGTGGCTTCTGGTTTTTTCATATTGTGATCAAACCATCTGGGCAAGCCTCAAGTTATCCTTAAGCAGTTTACCCAATTGCACCGGCATTGATTGACCTGCTGCCTATTCAGAGGAATTAGAGCACTGATGGAGAGGAGTGAGCCCTGGCCTCAGCATCGGGAGGTGTCAGGAGGACTGGGATGGAACGCTGCCTCCGCTGCTTCCTGCCTGTGTCACCTGGCTCCTGCTCTTGCCTTTCTCATCCCTACGGTGGAGATGATTACAATACTTAACCCCAGAGGGGTGCTCTGAACAGCAGTCACACAAGAGTGATGAAAACATCGTGAAAATCATAAATGATTACCAGTGTTGTTAGTCAACCAAAACATATCGACATTTTCATTTCATAGGGGATGTAATCAGATCCCAGCTGTCTGAACTCTGCACATTGCCCCCAAATCTGGACAACACAGAGAAGAGCCGAGAGAGAAAGGATTTTCTGAGAAAATATATAAATGTTACCATAAGACAGTTTTTTAAAAGGACTTAAAGAGCAAACTTCTAGTAAAACAGGGTCTCAATGAGGAGGGAGGGGAAGGGAAAAAGTTGATAAAGACTGAACAATTTCTACATGTTAGACATGGTGGTACACTGACTCCTTTAAACAGCCACGAGCTGTAGGGAGCATTGTCCCACGGGAAGACAAGAAAACCTAAAAACAGAGCTTGCACACAGAAAAACAGGTAGCAGTCCAGAGGTCCCCGGATGGTTGATCGGACCTGGCAGCTACTCCCACATTGCCCTCCCCAGTTCTAATCAGCATTCCAAGCTTCTGGTTGAATGGCTGGCAAAGAGTGTGAGTTATGTCTTTGCCATGGGCCCTCCTCTTAGGTTGTAGAGTTGACAGAAATGATTGGTGTCCCTGCTGTGATCCTCTTTTCCTGCTCCTCACCCTCATTATAGGCGCTGAAGCCGCCTCTCTGCACCTGATCACAAGACTCCTATGAGAAGCATGGGAGAGCCTTAGCACCAAAGGTTGAGGACTCTTATCCTGATTACAAGTAGCATCTCTTCATGCAAGTCAAATCTCAAATAATAGTATAACAGAAGAATGCAGTTGTTGAGACTTTGGGCTTTGAAATCATGCAGGCCTAGATGAAAATCCTAATGCCACCATTTATTAGCTGGGTGACCTTGAGCAATAGGTTAAACTTTTTAATGCCTCAGTTTCCTCATCTGTGCTATGGGGTAATAATAATAATAATAATATCTTCTTCCTGGGCTTGTTTGTGAAGATTAAATATTTTGACACTTGTCAAAGCTTTAGCACAATGCCCTATATGCTATTTCCTTGGCCAAAATTTTTTACAGTGTCATTTGTCAAAAATACTAATGAGCTTGAATAGTACAAGTCAAGTACCGTGCAACACCATTAAGGTAAGTATTCTGATGCCTGTTTCACAGATGAGGAAATTCAAACTGGAAGAGGCTAATAGCTCAAGGTCATATAGCTAATATGCACTAGAAATAGAATTAGGAGCTGAGTGTACTGGACCCAAAGTCTGTGCTCTTAAATACCAAGCGTCGGTGCCTCTCTTGTTTCAGTGAGAGTAGGTGATGGAAAAAAATATTCAGGAACGAAGACTCCTCCCTCCCTGAAGCACCCCTGGCTTCTCTTTATGTAATTCATCTGAATTAATGAAGCTTCTAGATACTGCCTAGGCTAAGGCTCTAGCATACATTCTGACATTATCCCAGGGCATTTGAAATCACTATCAATGGTCGCTCAGAGAAGTTAGCCTCCCAAAGTGACTTTTTGGCCCCAAATTATGCAATTATCTGTAGACATGGCCTAATTAGTCATTCAATGGCAAACCCTCCCGGCACTTTGAGTTGTCCCAGCTGGGAACAGTCTCCACACTGCAAAATCAATCCAGCATGTTTGCTTGCCTCCACACCATTCAGTGTGTGAATCTAGAGTCATCATCCTCATCAACAAACATTTATCCAATTTAGTTGTTAGCTTTGTCCAAAATAACGGATTGACCATGCCAGAGTGTGGGTCACATTATACTATCTTTAAGGCCTGGCTCAATCTTGCAAAACATACTTACTTTAATTGCATTGTTTTAGGATCAGATTGAACCTCATAGCTTAGATTCTCCTGCTTTTAGATAGCTTTACAAAATTATCAAAAAATTGGACCAAAATCAAGTAAATTAAAAGACTTTAAAAAATACAGTGAGTTTTCATCAGAAACTTGGATGAAGGCATAGGAGCATGCTGATCACATTTGCAGATGACAGAAAGCTGGGAGGGATCGCTAATATGATGGATGTCAGTATCAACATTCAGAGTGATCTCGACAGGTTGGAACAGGAAGGGCTGAAACCATCACGGAGAAAGTTAACAAAAATAAATGTGAAGCTCAGTATTTAAAATTAAAAAAAAAAAAATGGAAGGGCCTTGGCTTGCCAGTGGTTCGTGTTAAGAAGCTCTCCGGAGTCTATTTTGTATGCACTCAATCTGAGCTAACAAAGTATGTGTGTGTGGCAAGAGGCAGGGATGCTAAATTACCTTAGTCTGCAGTAGTAGATACAGTATGGGACGACACCCGCGTTGTGGATGGTCCCAGACTCTGTCCTTTCAGACCATACTTCAAGTTTAGATCAAGTCCAATTCCAAGCTGGGATTTAAGAGGGAGATAGATACACTGTTTCTGGAAACTTGTGAAGGATGCTGGGAGGAAATATATAAACAGGAAAGGAGAAGATCTGGTGGGATTAGGTCACTCTTGTACCCTGTGGTGAAACAAACTTGTTCCCAAGAGTAGATCTGGACGGAGAGAGAGAGCAACCTCTTCCAGCTTGCACTGAAGACACACTGTCTTGGCTATAACAGCTCTGTGAAAGTGTGAATTCCTCAACACAAGAAGTAATTAAAGAGAACACGTGACAGGACTCCTTTCAAGAGGAAGGGTTATCTCGGATGACACGTCATCTTTTCCATCTACTGAGATTTTACGATTCTAAGGTTTAGCTTACTGTCCCTAAACTCGAGTGCTTATATATACATAGACATATAAGCATACATGTGGTTAAGAAACCTGTCATTTAACAAGATTGCCCATGCTTTGTTCTTTCTCAGAATATGAAGACACAAAGAATTCATTGTGTGCCTACTCAAGCCAGGCACCATCACATATATTTTTAAAAAAACATCTTATTTATTTATTTGAGAAGCAGAGTTACAGACAGAGAGAAGGAGAGACAGGGGGAAAGGTCTTCCATTTGCTGGTTCACTCCCCAAATGGCCACAATGGCCAGAGCTGTGCCAATTTGAAGCCAGGAACCAGGAGCTTCCTCCAGGTCTCCTATGCAGGTGCAGGGGCCCAAAAACTTGGGCCATCTTCTGTTGCTTTCCCAGGTGCATTAGCAGAGAGCTGGACTGGGAGAGGAACAGCCAGGACATGAGCACCTATATGTGATGCAGGTGTCGCAGGCAGAAGCCTAGCCCACTACACCACAGCGCCAGCCCCCACATACATTTTTATATATGTTCACTTGAGCCCCCAGCCTTGTGTGATATACTTTATGATTTTGTTCCTTTTTTGACTGTCACTCACCAAAATTCAATGTTCATATGTTCATAGTACCTTCCCTTGAAAGTTTTTACATTTACAAATTCACAGAACTAGAGGTGAACTTGAGAGCATCTAATCCAACTCCTGTATTTTCAGAGGGGTAAATTAAGGCTTAAAGGGGCTAATGGGTTTGCCTTGAGGTAGGTGGCAGAGCTAGGACAAGATCCAGATCTCATCACTCAAGGTAATAAGAGGGGTCTTCAAAAAGTTCAGAAAATGTATATTACAAAAAAAAAAAAAGGCAAAAAAACAACACCACATAGCTATGCCTGCATTCCACTTTTTTGCACCAAAATTAACATTTCTTTAATTCCATTTTCCCATGAGTTTTTTTTTTTTTTTTTTAAGAAGCAAAGAGAGACAGAGAAAAGAGAATACTCCCGTTCTCTGATTCACTCCCCAAATGCTTACAATGGCTAAGACTGGGCCAGGCTTAAGCTAAGAGCTGGGAACTTAATTCAGGACTCTTATGTGAGCAGCAGAGACCTAGCAGAGACTAGCACCGGTGGCCTTCTGGGATCTGCATCAGTAGGAAGCGAGAATGGGAACCAGAGTAAGGGTGCAAACCCAGGCACTCCAATACGGAATGCAGGCATCCCGACTGGTAGTGTAACTGCTAGGCCAAATGCCTGCTCCAACTATAAACCTTTTGAAGAACACTCATATGTTTCTGTTTTATAATATTGCTGCTTGTACCAATGTCAATTTACTAGATTGTTTAAAAAAAGGCTTTTTATATTTTACAATATTATAATTACAACATTAATATCAATTATTTTTAACTGGCAAATAAATGCCAATTTACTATATTTTTTAAAATAGAAGCTTCATTATATTTTATAATACTATAATTGCAATAATAGTAATATCCATTAGTGTTTTTTTTTTTAAAAAAACAGGCAAGCCATTTAGAAGTAAAAATAAAAAACTGAGAGTCTCTTCTTCCTCTTCTGATCCTACCTCTCGGGATAACCAAGGTTAACAGTCTAGTATGTATCTGTAATTTATTCCATTTTAAGTAAGATTTTGCCCTGTCAAATTTGTGCCAGATAGTAGATCTGACAAA